AGTTGGCAGGGCAAGATCAAAGAGGCCAAAGCGGAACCATGTGTGGCTGTGGATGGGTGCTGTCAGCGTGCCAGTGTGTGTGCACCTGGCACGGTGTTGGTGTCACTGTGAGAGGGTGTTGGGGTGTGTGGGGCTATCTGAGCGTGTGTTAGTGCGACTACCGCGTTCTGCCAGCCTGTTAGAGTGGACACAGTGCTTGCCTGTTTCCCTGGTGTGTGTCTGTGTATCTCTCCGTGTGTGTGTCTGTGTATCTCTCCGTGTGTGTGTGTGTGTGTGTGTGTGTGTGTGTGTGTGTGTATCTGGTTGTGGCAACTGCAGCCCAATCCTGGACAGTTCCAGAGTTTCTGCCTGATCTAAGTCTTGGGGCCAGCGTACAGTCTCTGGGTGGTAGGGGTGGAGGGAAGGAGCGTGGGCCATGGGGTGGGGGCGCTGAGCAGGAAGAGATGGATGGAGAGGAAGGAGATGAAAAGCAAAGGAAGGGGCGATCACAGGAGGGGTAGAGGTCGGGAGTTAGGAGCCGAATGACTGGGATCTCGAGAAGTTGGACCGGGTTGGGGGACTGACAGCGGTCTCTTAGGGGGGAGCCCCTCCGCAGTCGCCTTTCCGGAAGTTGGGAAAGACCAGCGAACAGGGACAAACCGGGGGTTGGGAGGTGTGAGAAAAGGTGGCTGATGTTATCCGCGGGGCAGAAAGAGGAAGGGGTGGTTAGGGACTAAGTTCTGACACCAAGGGCTGCAGCGCTCCCCTCTGGGGCCGGGCCAGGATCCAAACCTGCTTCCCGCCCAAGAGCTGGCGGCGTGGGTCTCGCGGTCAGCATTGCGGCTCCACTGTAGTGAGAAATCCGGGAGCGGAGCCCTTCTACCCAGCTCTCAGCTCCAGGGCAATTACAAGGCCAAGAAATAGGACCTTGGCGACCCTTGGCGCTTGGCAAGGGTGCTGGGGGTGGGGACCCCAGAGCAGCAGTCCAACTGATCTTGGCTGTAAGCGCAGGGTCGGTGAAAGCGTCAGTCGGCCAGAGCTTGGGAGGAGCTGTCCTTGCTTCTAGAAGGACCGTTCAAGAGTGGTTTCTTCTGGGACTCTCAGTACTGCTAGAGCAGAATGTTTAGGGGTTTAGGATACAGCCCCACCCCTCCATACATACAGGAAGAGGAAGTGAGAGACAAGAGCAGAGGCACGAGGCCATGCAGCATCTTGACCATCCAAGATGCTTGCTATCAGTGCCTTATGCATAAAAAAAAAACAAAAACCCTGGTGCAGGAGAGCCAGCTGTGGACCACCTTCTCACTTCTGCATTCATCAGGGAATGCAAAGAAAAAGGAATCATCACTCCATCCTGGGACTGGGCTAGGGGACAGTGTCCTCTTGGAGAATTCATGTTGGCTCCTGGGATGGGATTTGTGGGACCATGTCAGCTGTATTTGAGCGGGAGGATCCTCAGCTTGCCCCATCTTCTGTATGGGGCATGGCTAGGACATGTGATGGGTTGGTTATGAAGCACATGTGACCTGGTGGTAGCAGGAAGGATATGCATGTGTAACTCATGTCAACTGTGCGCACGTGTGCAATGCGAGGAGGGGAGCATATCCTGTTTGGGTTATGCTGGGAGATCTTTAAACTACTCAATCAAAACAGAATCGTGAACTGAGACTGGTGGCTCGTGCCTGAAATCTCACTACTTGAGAAGGCTGAGGCAGGAGGATCACTATGAATTCAAGTTCAGCTACCTGTCTCAGAAGGAGAACCTGTCTCAAAAAAGCATCATAAACAAAAACAAATACACAGTCCTAGCTCAGTCTTCCCACCACTTTGTACCTAGTGGTCCAGGCAGTGCCCTGACCCTAGGGTGGAAGAAAGGTGGGTAGGGTTCCTGTCCAGGCCTGTCTTGACTCCTCTTTCCTCTCAGGTGCCATCTTTGAGGAGAACGCAGCCAAGGACGACAGGGTGTTCCAGTTGGCTGTATCAGACCTGAGCCTCAATGATGACATCCTGCAGAGTGAGAAGATCACTTACTCCATCAAGGTCATCGAGGCCAATAACCCGTTCCAGGCGGTGCAGGAAGGTGAGTGGCCACTGAGCCCATGCATGAGTCACTGGACTGCAGACAGTGAGGCTTCGAAGCAATGGGTCCAGGCAGGGTTGCTACCCAATCGGTTGTGCAGAGTCTCCTAGGCTCCTGGTCGGCAGGCTGCTATGCCAGGTGTGGTGGTGTGTTCTCCCAGGCCTAGCAAGGTAGGGTGGCTCCGTCAGGGCAAGCAAAAAGTCTCTATGCACTGCAGGTGGGTCTCCTGGCAGGACAGTGAAGCTTCTTTCCTGCCCGGTGGATGTGGATGTGGGTGTGCTCCACACCGTTGAGCAGGCGTACAGCTCAGGGCCGTCTTTGTTTCTCGCGTGTTGGGTTTGTGGGTGGGTGTGTCTTCGTGCGGTTATCGAGTGCACCTCCCTAGAAGCCTCTCGTGGCCTGTAGCCTACGGGAGCTCGGTGCTTGTCCTATGCGCCTTCTCTGTCGCACAGCCTGGCTGGCGCGGTTGCACACCCTGTGCTTCTGCTCTGCGGGACCACAGCTTGGCTTCTCTCTGCCTCACTCCACTGTGTGTAGAGCAGCCAGTTCCTTTGCCGGGGCCAGCGCTGCCGGCCTAAAAGGCATTGCCGCTTGGACCGGAGGTGGGCGCTGTTTGCTCAGGAAAAGAGAGGAGCTGGATTAGATCTGATGGCAGGAAAATCTTAGTCTGCCCGGGGCAGCAGTATTTCCCTGCAGCTGTTTCTCTGGGACTCCTGAGGTAGGCAGGGGCAACAGGTGGGCAGCCAGTGAGGCCATCACCTTTTGCTGGCTTTCTCTGGCACCTGCACTCGTGGAGTGCACTTACATACGTGCAGGCAAAGCACACATACACTTAAAATAATGGAAACTGCTGCTTTCAGCACTGGCAGATGTCTGTTGTCTGATGTCTTCGGATGCATTAGTGACAGCAGCTCCCTCTACTTTTCCTCCTCCTACAATCCCTCCACTCCTACATGGCTGTCTGCTCTTGAAGTGTCCCTTCTCTCATGTTGTTGATTCCTGGTCAAGGCCCATGCTCTTTCCCCTACCTCTTTGTCTTGTTTTCCACAAGTAGGGCTCCACTGTGGTGCCAGTGCCCTGAAATGCAAGGGCACAGTTGGAAGGGACTTCCATGCATGGGACTTCTTGCAGGGATTGCATGCAGGGACTTCTTCCCAGAACTGGCAGGGCGATGGGGCAGGGAGGAAGTGGGGTGACTGAGGACTTTGCTGCCAGTCTCTCCTTGGGCTTGTTTGGCCTAGGGTCTCCCAGTCACCTTGGAGTTGCACGCTGTCCACCAGTCTCCTAGTACCTTCGAGGATGAGGTGAGTCAGTGATGGATGTAGTCTGCAGCTGGTACTGGCATCTTCGTGCAGCTTTCGAGGACCTTCTGGTTTTAGGTGCAGCACAGGAAGGAAAGGTGGTCAGCTCTTGGGGAGTGACTGCCTGATTGTAAAGTTCAAATGATGAAGGATGTTTTCATTGTTCAAATCTCTAGTCCCATGTGCTGATTATGGTGGTGTTGGTGGCTGGTGCCCTGTATTGTGAAAACTGCTTGGCTGGTGATGTGTTTCTGTGGTCAGTAACACTTCCCACTCCTGAAGAAGACCCTGGTTTGATTCCCAACACCCATACAGTGGCTCACAACTGCCTGTGACTTCAGTTGGAGAGGTATCTGACTCCCCCTTCTGGCCTCTGCTGGTTCCTGCTCAAATGTGATGCAGGCAAAACATTCACACGCATAAAAATAGTGAGAGCTGCTGCTTCCAGACTTGGCAGATGTCTGTTATCATGTCTTATGCAGTAGAGGCATGGGGAGTCCCTGTCTTTCTTGTTTAGCCTCATCTTACCATCTGTCTCCAGATGCCCTCTGACCACAGACTTCTATTTGTGTACTGTTATCATGGTGGCCCATATCAAATTGGAGTACCCCTGTTATTGCTGTTGCTTCTGACAATTCTCTCTCCATAGTGTAAGGCATCTGTTGCTATTGACGATGCCCCTGAATGAAGCACAGCATCTCTCTCTACCAGTCATACCCCAGGGATGAAGTGCTGATCTTACATAGGGTTATAACCTGAGGCAGGATGCACACACAAAGATAAACTGTCCCTGGAGAGGTCATCTTTGTTCAAAGGAGCAGCTGTCACACGGCTTCAGTTGGTTTGTGCCTTGTTGGTGGGAAAAGTCCTAGAATTGTTATGTATCTATTTTGTAAAAAGAAGTCCCAAGTCTGCACTTCAGTGCAAAATGATGTTTTTTGAGGCAGGATTTTGCAGCTCAGGCTGCCCTCTTGCTTCAGCCTCCTGAATGCTCAAACTATAGATAAGCCTTACTCTATCACCACACTTGGCTTTCATATTTGGTTTTTAACCTGTCAACCAATGGACCAATTTAAACAACAAAGCATAACTCTGTGCCATTTGACCTTCAAGCTCCAAATACAACTTTGTCCTGGTAATAAAGGCTCCAGCCAGGGCCCTTAACTGGTTTAGATCTTTTAAAATTTTGATTGTTATTTTCTTTATTTGTGTTAACTGGGAAAATGTTTCTGTCTCCAAGGACAGCAAGTTTACAGTCTCAGAAGGATATTGGAGTATTTCTGCACATCTGGAATGAGGGAGTGAGATGCTGAGGGTCAGAGGTTTCTAGGTATAGAAACACTGGACAGGTGCTGTTTCTGAGCTGATATGTCCTGGTTAAAGCTGGCATGCACTTTCAACCTTGGGAGTGGTGTGGGCTACAAGCCACCTTGCTATCTATCTTATGGCCTTGCCTACAAGGAAAGGGGGGAAATACCAATGGAGGCTTTGGGAAAAGCTGAGCATTGCTTAGCAGCCTCCCCCCACCCTTTGCCTAATGCTTGTGGAACAAGTATTCAGCTCATTGGGTCTCCTTTTTTTGCTTGTTCTATGGGGTACTGTCTGCTCAGTAGCTGGCTCTTACTGGGTGGCTATCCCAGATTTTTCTCCTGAGTTTGGATACTTACTGCAGAGGATATTATTTGGGGAATGGAGAGCAAGGGCATGCTGGAACTCACTCTTTATCATAGAGAGGACAAGTACCCAGTGTGTCCCAAGGGGTCTGGGAGTAGAGCAATGCTGCCTTGTTTTAATTTGAGAGGCAGCACCACCACGCCCCAGGGATGGGTGTCTGATTGCTGGAGCCCTAAGATGAGAGCCTGCCTCACTCATTGCATGATCTGGGAGAGTTTTGGCTTGTGCCCAGCTTCTGTTTCTAGATCTGTTAAAAGGAATAATTGTAGTATATGCCTCCTGGGATTATTGGGAGGATTAAATGAGATGAGACATGTATAAATTGCCTGCATAAGGCCTGAGGTTGGTGTTCAGTAAACACTAATTCCCTCCCTATTCTCTGACCCAGCTATGACTTTTTTCTCAGAGTCTCTTAAGGCTGTTGATATTTTCAGCTACAAGTTTCTTAAGCTAGTGAATTCCTTGAGAGAGGACCCTAAATGACCTTTTCATTTTCAGCTTTTACTACCCCATACCCCAGTTATGAAAGGAATGTAAGGCTACAATGAACATGGGTTACTCTAAAATGTAAAAAAGGAAGAGGCCAATGTATGCTCATTACATAAAACGCAGAAGGTGTGGGAACAGCAAGAAGCAGAATGCAATCCTCCTGAATCCCACTGCATTTTTTCCTTCTAGTCTTTTTTTTTCTCCCATTGTATTTATAAATGAAGAGGGCTCTCATTCTGTTCATTGCCCTTTACTATTGGCTTTTTCAGAAACCTCCATGAAGTAGTTGTAAACATTACTTCTGGTGCCTGCATGTGTTTTTCAGTGTACACTTTTTTTTAATAAAAAAGAAATACAATCATTTATGCAGAGATATGCATACTTAAATATTTCTGAAGAAAACAAGAAACTCTCCTTGGATGGATGTGCTTGCCCTAAGATTTATACCTATGATTTTTCCAGAATGGTCTCACAAACTCCTTACAAACACTGTCTTTTAGGATAGTATGTAGGATATGTGCTCTATGAGCATCTAAAATTAATAAACAATAGAACAGGACAGTTAAAGCTCCAAAATGCTCCAACAATCTTTGATTGTTGAAGTTTGCATTAACATGTATGAAAATTTGTGTTCTACAAGACAAATCTGAGGAAAGATACTAATTTGTTGACAAAGTCATCCTGGTTTTTCAGTGCCTGCTCAAGCAGAGGATTATGTAAATGCATAAAAGAACTGGCTGCACGTGAGTCTCCCTTTACAGAATCATCTTTTACTATGAGCAAAAGATGGGAGTTACTGGATATGCTGTAGATGTATCTGTCACATCAAGGAAGCATAACGGTTTAAGGAGAGCCAGAGGAAAGGAAAGCACACGAGACAATATTCTTTAGTTGCCAGAAGCCCAAGAAAAAGACAAGGTGAAAGGGGCTGGGATGAGCACAGTTGATAGAGCTCTTTTCTCCCATGCACAGAGCCCTGGGTTCAACCCTCAGCACCACACAGACCAGGCGTGGTGATGCACAGCTGTCATGTGAGCACTTGGGAGGTAGGAGCAGGAGGATCCGAAGATTAAGCTTATCCTCAGCTACACAGTGAGTTTAATGCCAGCCTGGGCTACATGAGACCTTGTTTTAAATAGAAGAGGTGGGGGTAAGGGAGACAAAGTCAAGAGCGAGGATGTGTTGGAGTGCTCACCTCTTGTGCGTGAGACCCTGACTCCAATGCTTAACACCACATAAAAGAACAAAAAAGTGAAAATTTCCTAAGTATAGTGTATTATTGACAGATGAAGAAGAGTGATTAAAAAGGTACAGGAAGCATGTAGATAGCCACTTCTGAAGGTCTGGCAGGCTTACCCCATTACCTTTGTGATGGACACTGACCCTCACTTTGCCACGCTGGTGGTGTGTTCTGTTTGAGAGCCCTCTTCCATGACCACTGCTTCCTCTTTTGCTTACACTCAGAATTATAGGGTTCCTGGCATCCTTGAGGGCATCTTCTTCAGGATACTGAAGACATTTCTAGGGGCTCTGATT